GGTCTTAACCCCAGAGCTTGTTTGGAAACCCTCCCGGGGGGGGGGGCATTGAATAATGAAACGCAAGTGCTGTGAAAAAAAACCTTGTGCTCCTCCCCTTCTTTGCCCTGGTTTGGGAGACAGGGAGGTGGATTCGTCGGTGGAGAAGCACGTCTCACTTAGCTAAATTGGCCGTGTCTCATCCCTCAATACCCACTGTTCTCACGGGGGAAATGAGCTCGACCAGGTGCTATGTAGGATCTCTCGAGTCTCAAGAATTTTCTCCCACACCCTAAATTCCTTCTATAGGAGTGCAGAATGGTCAGACATGCCTGGATAGCCTTGGTCAACACCTCACCGGCATTTCTCAGACTCTGGTCCATCTTTCACTCTGAGGTGCGCAGCAGTACAATTTTTGATGAGTCATATGATATACCCCCTATGCACACAATCTAGATCTCAACTCTATTAAACATCACATTTTCAAGAATTTGGACAGAGGGCAAATTGTCCAGATGGCCCTAACTCAGCAGGGGCCATATTAGCTTTCAAAACGTCCCGGCTCAGTCCTGAGTTACCGTTTACCTGGGGCGGCGGGGCACTTCCCTTTTGATTTCTGCACAGTTACTCTGATCTGTCAAGCAGAAAAATAACCAGAGGTTACTTCAAAGGCCGGGTCTCCTCACAGCGGAGGGGTCCAACATGCTGCTGCCTTCATGCAAGGAGCCAAAGCTAAAAGGCGCCTTTATATGAAAATTGGTTTCATTAGGATCACTGGAATCCTTTGAGGGTCAGTGGGAAAAAAGAAAACACATGTTGACAAGCACAAACGTCTGCACCTTCTTATAAACATCAACCTCAATGCTTTTCACAATGCATTTATGACAGGATTTTCTTTTTCCCCATTTTGTAAGACAGCGCACAAAGGATAGTGCGCAGGTACTCAAAAAGAGACGGTGTAAGTCTTTAAAATGTTGGGGTGTTGAAGTAGCTTTCTGAACAACAGGACCCTGTTCTCACATCAGTGGCCTGCATATGTAGTTTCTGTGTTGGTGAAAGCATACCCCTATGCACTCAAATTTGATCGAGAGGCGTTTTACAGTGTCCAGAGGGAGGCTGAGAGGATTTATTTTTGCCCGAGGTGAAGGTACACACACACACACACACTGCAGTAAAGAGGCAAAAACAATTATTCAGCAACTGGAATCATCAATAATGCTCTGTTTAACTTGCAGAGAAACTTGGAGCCTAAAATGGAAAAAGGTGAGACTACCAACACGAATGAAGGTGAAATTGATGAAAAAAAAGCAAGAAAGTAGATAGAAGATGTCAAAAAGGTGCAAAGACAAACTTCATTTCAGGGGCTAATTTGTAAACACTTAAAGCTGGAATGCTAAATTATGGGTCAGCTGCTTCAGGTTGGCCTGGAAAAGCTTTCCAGCGGTAACTTGGCTGCAATGTCACTCAACCCCTGTCAAGTCAACCGATATCGAAGCGTGGAAATTATAAGACATTAAACATACTAAAGGGGCGGGAGAACTCCAACAGGGAGGCATTTCAGCACAGTCGGGGCTCAGGACCTGCTGTGGTTGTTCTCTTCCAAGACTAGGGGGGGGTCAAAAACCTCAAGAGTGTGCTGTAATTTCTTACCATGGCTTTGAAAAGCAGCACTTTGGTGCAGTTTGGTCCAGCTCTGGAAAGTGGTCAACTCCTATACACTATATAGGACAGAGCTATAAGGTGGCTAAGGAGCAGGTTGGAAATGAGGTGTTAACACCACATGAGGCGACGTCTTGGGTAACTCCATCACCATCATGTTCGAGCTCTTTTCCACGAGGCCAGGTTAGATGCTTAGTCATAAAAAAGGACACGGCGAGAGGGGTTTAAGTTCACAGCAGTAGGTCTTGTAGATAATGGCTTACAGTTAGGCTGGCCCTCGATCACAGCTCACCGAGCTCCACGTGGCTCGGTTTGCAGAAGAAGTGAAGACATTACAGTCATCTGTCTGGGTCTACGAGGCTGCAGTTTGGAGGATGGTGGGGTTATGAGTTTGGCTCGTGTTACCTGGCTCTGCTGGAAGTGACCTGAGCGGGACCTACAGATTAAGGAACCATCTGGGGGCTGCAACCTGAGCTCAGGAGAGGAGGACCAGCAGGGGCCCGTCCAGGACACCACTTTCACTTATCTACAAAGACAGACACACACTGTTTAAAAGTACCTTAACTTAAACTCCTTTTTAGAAGGAGAATGCCACTCAAACTGATAATTCACATCTGCCATTTCTTTGGCAAACAATGACTCAACCACACAAACCACTGAGCTGTGACTAATGTCATCAGGGATGGGACCCGAGTGTGTCTGTAGTTCCAATAACTTTAACAGAGTGATACCTCTTCTCTCTAGCAGATCTCATTTTCAGGAGAATAACTGCATATAAATAATTATTATAAAGTTAATACTTTTTTAACCAGGACCTCCAGTAGTTGGATGAAGAAGCTCCTGAAGTAAGTACACTACAGCTGTTAATTAAATGCATCCGATATATATATATATATATATATTCAATCAAATGATGCGATTCTTCTCCTTTTCTATCCTTCAATCCTTTCAATTTCATCTCACTAGACTTCTATATTGGTACGAGCTCGTAGAGATGGTTATTGTTTTATTGTCAGTTTGAAAGGACGTCAGTCAACGTTTACTGAACAAACCAACCTATCCTGGGGCAAAGAAACTTCCCTTTAAGCACAGAGACACCAGCTGATGAAGAAAATAAGAAGCTGTGCTTTTATTCTACGGAAGGATTCGCCTCTCACTGATGATTTCCCATTTTAAAATGCCCAACTCATAAATCATCCCAAAAAGGTGCTGATCTACGGCTCTGTAAATGTTTCAGTGAAGCACTCCAATGATTGAGATTTCCCAACGGTACAATGAATATAGTATCTCATCCATCCATGTTGAGATTCAGAGGTCGGCACAAGTACGAGACAAAAATCCTTAGATTTGTAAAACAATCCCAGTTCATGGAAAATAATCTGCCTTCAACCACATTACCTGCGACTCACAATAGTATGCCTCTAATAAAAAAAGGAATACTGAATCATTCATATCATGACAAGTGGCCACACATGACTGACATCCCCAGCTCCAGATGTGGAAATACAGTAGGCATGACGTTGCTGTGATGGTTTTCTGGCCCTTTGATCCATAAAAATGGAGTTCATCTGCTGGACATTTTGCCAAGATATTATCTCATATATAGCCACGGGGAATGAGAACCAAAAATTGTCTGAGCGTATAATGTAGGAGATTTAGCCAGTGGTTTCTTCATTTTTAATGAACCACGTCAGGACTTTTCTACTGCCTGCTGTTCATTCACCTCCAATTTGACAGCCGTTACGCCATCTCAAGTTTGACTTTGCCTACCCGATGTTCTTCAGAAGTTGTGGAGTTCACTTCCGCTGCAGTGGCCCCCCCCCCATTTAAAAAGTTCCATGTGATTCTCAAAAAGCTCCTTTAAAAAGGGGTCCCAGTGGTGGCAGTCCTAATCAGTGTGTTGCACACAGCAGCCAGCCGAAGGACCAGTGCAAGGCCTGGTTCCCATCTGAGAAAACAATGATGACTCCTAATGCCATCCTCAGGACCCCTGTCCTGTCAGACAACACACACACACTGATAGATCAATTATAGAAATGACTCGCTTTTAAACAGGGCTTTTCATGTCTATTATAAAAAGGCCCCTGCCGCAAATGTCAAACCAACAAGCAGTTTAAAGATTATACACAGAAATGTACCGCGTGTGTTTGCATGTTGGGGTATACCTATACAATGAAAGCATAAGAACAATTACAAAAAATGGCCACAATGGGCCATAACCACATAGAAAACATTCAAAATAGTTCCTTATAAAACACCCATCTGTAGGATGCATAAGGCAGATAACCCACCAGGCAATAGCCATGGACTTGCCTTTAGGCAGTCAGGAGTGATTGGTCTCCATCTCCCCTCAATAAAGTGCTAGTTCTAATGACACCCCCATGCTCCACACGTCACTGTAAGCACAGGCCTCACAGCTGTTGCACTCAAACGAGCTCACCAAAAACACGAGATCAGCATACCATCTGCTAGTTGTGTCTCCTCCAGATCATTAATCAACCTATCGCTGCATTGATGCTGCAGAAGATATCGTTCCCACCACATTAGGAAGCGCCGGCGCCCACATTGTTTTCTATACGACAGTGTGTAAACGCAGTTGCAATTAAATGCTGTCTGATGCGGCGAGAAATATTTTTGGTTACCGTCAATGATTAACAAATCATTTAGGGTGAGGCTTTAAAAGTAATGACATTTACAGTAGTTTTACTTCAAACCCTAGAGGATTCAAATGCCATCGAATGGTTGTAAAAATGGTGAGCAGGACAATAAACGCATGCACAATGACAAAGAATATTTTGAACAAAAAGACAGAGCAAGGAGATCAAAAATCAAACCATGCAAACCCATAAAACTACCCTGACTATTTGGGGATTTGGTGGCATCCGCTGAAAACATTGTGGCCGGCACCAGACAAACCATCTTCACAGTGCCCTGACAGAACACCCAACATATCAATACCCCAAGCAATAGCGGTCACTTCCTGCACCCATGCTGTGCCACCCCAAAACAACAGCACGAACCTCAGACCTCAAAAATGAGGTGGTGAAAGGAATTTAATTAAATGTGTTCTGCAATAAAAATGTTTACTGTTGTTCTAATACAATGCAGCATGACAGCTGGTTTGGTACAGCACGCTCAGATGTTACGATATTAAAGTATCTACGTACCAATGGGAAATCGATTATCACATGCCCCAAAGATACCAAGAAAAGTGCCTTCATATTATTGTAATTAAAGGAAAAGCATGGTTGTAGCTTTGAGTGGGGATTAGATATGGACCACCAGAACATACAACACAGGACATATTTTGCCTCACAAAGGTCCGCTGGTTGTCAAAAGCAATAAATCAACAACAAACTTACCGTCCATCCGCTTCTTTGAACATATCATCGACAGCAAATGGTGCATGACCACCCAGCAACTACACTACGGTAGGTCTGAAAGTGAATGCAGAAACGAACTGTGTTGTAATTCTTAAGTAACATTCTTTGGAGGTGTTTTCTGGGTTCATTACGGGCAAATGTTTGACGTGGCGGACCTCGCAATGCTTGTTTATCCTGGCCATCTCTCATCTAGATATCTATCAAAACTGTAGCTGGTTTATAGTCTGATTCCAAGTCAAGGTTGCGTAGTAATTTATGGCACTGAGACTCTAAGACAAGTAGCAACCTTGTCCCTGCCAGCAGCTGAAAAGAAGGGGCCTATGGGCCTCAGCTGAGGGGCTAAATGTAAAAAAAAAAAAATATATATATATAAAAAATGAGCTCTACCTCCCTCCCACCCATGTGAAAACCATCCCATGGGTTCAGAAGTGTCTATGTGAAAGTAATGGCGGGAGATGAAGAAAGCCAGTATTGTTAAGAAAAACAAAACTTGCTTCTTTTGCCCTTGTCAGGGATTCCTGTGTGTGAATTACTATCTGGTCGTTTGTCATTAATTGCCCATAACTGGAAATTTGTGAAAAATGTCAACTATTTCCTCTGCTAAATACCCGCGTTGTCCAGGTTTTAAATAGCCTAAATGGTCCTCTTTACTAAAGGCTCACATTTAGACAGCGGCTCTAGCTGGCATAGGAGCATACCAGCTGGGATCCATGCTATTATAAAAGATGTACCGGTATTAACCATATGAGGATATCTTTTGTGTTGGCTCATACAATTCCATTTCTGTACGACTAAATTGATTGTTTCCTTTCACAAGGCTCCTAGATTTTTCAATTCTTATAAAACTCCACTTCATACTGAAGTCTACACCTATTGGTGTGATCACATTGAGGAAATTGGATCATCAAATCATCCATAACAAGTTTGCACACAGATAATCTGCCACCCATTACAGGAGTTTGTCACACTTAGGTTTTGGAAGCCTTTCTGGGAACTTTTTGGACTGTATTGATCAGCTAGTAGTCTGTTGATTCCAAAAAATTAGCCCATGTTTCATTGTGACAAGGCCACAATGAAACATGCCTTCTGCATTATGGTGGATTTGGCTTTCACATCCTCAGCATCACAAATCAGTTAAAATTGCTTTAACTTGCACAAAGAACAATACAGCAAAATAAATTAAAAGCGCCTAACATGCTCACAGATACCTTATTCTCAACAGCTACTGGATCAGATCACAGCAAAAAGTGAATGAAAATCAGATTTCATTTTATCATGTGATGGAACCACACATTCAATGGGAACCTCACGTTGTTCTGCGATTGCTTCGGGCTGTCGCAATACCCGCAATATTGGAATACTCCAACAAGCCAACCACAGGGGATGGCAAGCAAACAACACAACGGCTATAGTCCAATTTTTCTTTTTTTAATTCTTTGCAATCGGAGTACCACGTATTTATACTTTGCTACAAACGCCAGCTGCGTGACGAGGCGCTGAGTGTCTATTCTGTGCTGAGCGATGCACATTTGGGTTTTTTTCTGGTTGCCAAGAGTTGAAAAATGTTTAACTCTGGGTCAATAAGTACTCACTGTAAAAGAAAAAAAACAAGAACTTACTGTCACTTTGCTCCTCAGCCGTCCAATCACAATCGAGGAGGGTTGCGACAAATACCAAGAAGACCAACCGTCACATCCTCCATGGAGGTTACAAGTGCTGCAAAACAACAATTGAGCAGAAATTAATACATGTAGTAGTAATAATAATAATAATAATAATAATAATAGACTTCTGAGTACTGGAATCACCAATAAACAAGTTGTCAAGTAGTGTTAAAACTGTCATCTTTGTCATTCAAAAAGCAACTCTATACCTAAGAGCATATCAAAATAAAGCTTATTAATACAGCACTATAATCAGGATGAATTAAATAAAAATGATGATATTGCATATCTTGCTGCTGAGCCAAACATTGTAACCGCAAGGGAAAGTGTGTGTGTGTGTATAGGTGCTGTTTGGGTTCAGAAGTTGTCATGTACCATTCAATGAAACATCTGTGATGGGAGGTTCTCATTTGATAAACTCAGTGACCCACTTGCCTTCATGTTCTCTAGCCCCAGAGAGAGAGTACTGCTACAGTACATAAGCCTAATGTCATCTAAACTGAAATCCTCTGCGCCGATAAATTCAGCAAAAAACTGCACATTTCGACTTGCTTTTATAGACATTTTTTTCAGAAAACAATTACTTCTACATTACCAGAAAATTGTGTTTAGAATTGGGTTACCATCCAAGAAGCCGGGCCAACTCACCGTCTACAAGTTTGAGTGAACTTTTGAGACCATAGCAATGTCCTTGAGGGCTTTTGTGGCTGACCTGCTTCATGCTGCTTCATGAGTACATGCTCTTTTATGTTGTTTATAATGCGCCTTTCCAAACATTTATCACCACGTTTGCTGTGAATCTCCAGCTAAGCCTTTGAAAGTGGGAGCCAGCCTCGACTTTAATCCTGGGAGTGAAAGTCCATGGTGGATGACTGGAAGGTGGGGCCAGATCTTCTTGTTGCTTCTTCACCAGCTGCTGATAAATGAATTCTCAATGTTTCCTTTGGCTGGTTAGTTAATCTCCAAATAGATGTTGAGATGCATTTTGCATTTCTGTACAATTTAGAGACTAGTGAGATTTGGTAACGCAAAAGGAGTGCAAGAGAAAATACAAATAGATTTGACAAAGACAAGAAGCAAAACCCTCAAGAGGTGAGATCAGGAGGCCACAGATCCCAGGCAGTAAATCTGAGCAGGATGATAGTGGGAGACAGGCAGTAAACTAAAAGGTCGTGTTAAGAACAACATAAATGAAAAACACCTGTTATTCCAGGTTTTGAAACAAGACTGCAACAGAAGAACAAAGTGTTGGGTAAACTCACAACTACATCATTCTGTCAGGTTTCCCCCCCCTTTCTTCCCACTCTCACATTTACTGCTTCTGTGACAATATGCTCACTGTTTAAATGAGCGCTGCAGGAACATCTGGATCCACTGACAGATGCACAGCTTGTCCATAAACGGCCAAGGACGCTGCTCTATTTGCCTTTGGTTGGCGGGGCAGTGCAGTATAGACCCTTATCACCAAACCTATGTACAAAAGAAGATGATTTCTCTCTTATGAATACTTCATGGACAGGCTTTTTTGAAAACCAGCTGACTGCCAAGACTCATTTACGAGACTAGTCCCTTGAGTGGATATAAGTTGTAGTGGTCACTTGATATACACAAATGGAAAACAGCATTGTGAGAACACAAAGCTTGGAGAAACCCGAGCAAGGCAAATAAATGGCCACATTAAACCGAAGATACAATATTTATGTCACTCTGCTCAATCAAATAACTGGCAGAGCCATCTCATCTTCATCTAATGATCCAAAATGATTTAGTGACTCATATTCTCCATCATCTCATAAAAAGATAGTGCTGATACAATTTAACTTGAGGATTGAACCATAATCTGTGTAACACTGGCTCACAGAACGGACCTGTGAAGAGAACAAGAGGTGACTCCGTGAAAATGACAATAATTGATCACAACTGGAGCTCATCAGAACCTGGCTGGCTTGAACCTTTGAGACCGGCCCACCGAAAATCAAACAAACATGGCCAACGTTTGGTGGAGTCCACCGATAAATTGAGTAAATTCAGAACGACCCAGTGGAGCATTACAAGCAGTTGCCTGTGTGTATTTGGACCGTGCTGCACCAAGATAACCATGACAATCTGACATAAAAATAAAGGGATGGAAATTGAACCCACCTGTTAATAAACCCCCCCCCCCCTCAGCCTCGCATATCCCATGCATAATTCCTGTGTAAAGGAGAACAGACGCCAGCGTTTGCACTTTGAAATGTTTATTTTAGTAGCCTGGTACAAAAAGGCTTCAACTTAAAGGGGCTGCTCGGCTAAAGAGGTACAGATTTACAGGAGCAAGATGGATTTGGACAGACTGGAATGACAAAGCAGGCCGGCTTGAGGAGCAGGAGTCGCCCTGCCACAACAAAGACGGAAAGAAAGAAAGCTCTCATTGCTCTCTTTGAGTTAAAGTCAATAGCTTTCTTACACACATCAAAGTTGAAGGTCTCTTGTTTGTCCAGGTTTCCCCTTTGTCAATCTATTACACTACGGAGCACTAGGAATGGGAGTTATTATTCCCTTGATGCTGGAAAAACAAGAGCTCGAGCTATGAATTGTCTGCAGCTATATAATCGCAGTAAAAAAAGAACATTGGCCCTTAATGTAGTAATCTAATGAAAGGATCAATTTATCCAATAGCAAATGTAAGTAGCATTGTTGAAGAGAAAGCCCCGAAGACCATTTAATACACAAGCGCTATAATAACAGTTTATAGCTTCATCTCATAGCATTTATAGCTTCATTTCATGGCAACCCTATTTTCTGGAGCTTTCTGATGCATCCACATTCCACTATAACATAGTGTCAAAATGCTTGAGCTTGACTAACAGAAATACGGTTAGCCTAAAACTGTCATTTGGACAAACTGCTTGCTGCACTTTTTTACTGACGAGGAGGCACCTTCAAGCAATATAAAGTCAATGGAGAGCAATTCATTGTCATCCCCTCTGGTGTGGGCGGGACTTAATTGCGCTCTGTCTCTATATAATGACTTTTTTTAGGGCATGGCTCTAGGGGTGGAAACGTCAACATGCCCACTCTGGTCCAGACTGAAATATCTTACTTTGTTTAAGATATCCATGGTGCCCGGAGGATTAATCCTAATTTATTTTCATCTAGCGCCACCAGCAGCTAAAGGTTTTCACTTACCAATATCTCAGCATTAATAGTCCGCAGATGATGTATCCCGAGTACTTGGCGTAGCGATAGCCTGGCTTTTTCTCTAGGGCCACCATGAGGTGGACATTTGTGGATTTGGGGGAAATGTCTACACAACCATAAAATCTGATTCAGACCATCTAATTGCCATCAAAGTCAGCTGTAATTTGTTCTCAGTGCTTATTAGCAAATGTTGCATGATAATAAACTATACTAAGGTATGTAAATGGTAAACATTAAAACATGCAACTGTGCGCATGTTCCCTTGGGGCTGAGGATGTTGGCATTTAGCTCAAAGCAGTGAAATATCTAAGAATATAGCTGTGAATGCAATTTTAGAACAACCAGGATTTATACAAAAAGGGGAGACAGATTAAAGCAACCTACCTGTACGTCTAGTTGAGATTTGTAACTGTATAGGCTGTACAGCATTTCATTTTGGAGTGAGTCATATACATTCTACTATCTATGGATTCTATCTTTGCAGCCCTGTATAACTACACCCCCTTCCCTCACACTCAAGCTTTCTCTCTCCATTTTCCCCCCGCCTTCCTCCAATCCTTTATTCTCCCTTCTGCCATCATTCCAGATGTTGACTGGTGTCATAGGTGCTGCATAAATCCCTTTTCTCTCCTGTCAGACATCACTCCATCTCCTTTCTTCCGTCACCTCTAGCTATCCCTCCACACTCTGAGTAATCAAACCTCACTTAAACCGCCCCGTATCCTTATAACGGGACTTGCTGAGGCGGCATGTTTTCTTTGGGAAATGACTCATAAATTAGGGAGCTCCCAGGCTGGCCGTGAAAGAGCCAGACAAGCATATACAAGGGTCCCTGATTAGTGTGGCTGGGAGAAAGGCCAGACAGGCCACGGCTGCAGGACCCATTTAGGACCATCGCCGACTTGAAAGAGCGAAAGGAAAACATATTGATCACATGACACCGGCTGGGTCATTCCTAATAGCTTGGCAATGGGGATGCCTGAGCTACCACTGGGTCCAGAGTCACTTTAAGTTTTTCTTTGCTGAAAAGGAATGTTTAAAAAAAAAAAAAGTATAACTTTTAGGATAAATACTTAATATAACAAGATCAATTCATATACAACATATAATGTATCTGCAAGACCATTCCTCGAACTGACATATTATTGCCACGAGTTTCTTTGTGCTCTGAGGCATGGTGTGGCTTTAAAAAGACAGGAAAGAGAGGGAAAAAAGGGAGAGAAAGTGAGCGATCCCTCCCTTAACTGCAGTTGTATATCCCCCCTCAGATATATACTGACAATGACAATTTAAGGTACAGTTCAACTAACACAGGAAAACATGCCTAATGGGAAGAATCTGTGTCCAGGAGATGAATGCCAGAAACCTTTACATTTGTTAAACTTGTAAAAACAAAGTCTGCTGATGAGTAATAGCACTCAGGTTCTGGACTTATTTCAGCATTAACAAATAAATAAAGGCTGTCCATTGAGTAAAAGCAGGATGATATGCTTGTGCTTATCCAAGTGTTTATCCACCCTGGACATATTTTATTGAGTGATGATAGCATTAAATTCTGAAGACAGACATTTTGCATCAAAGACTGGCTACATTTCAAGGAATTTGCAGTTTGAAGATTCTCTAAACCTAAACGGCACAAAGGAAGGCTGCAATGCTTTGTTTAAATCTGTGCCATCTCTTTTACAAATGTACAACATAAATCAATTCACATGCACGCACACTAAGATAACTTGTCCAAACTCATTATACTTTGAGCACACCACCAACATTTGTGGCATCTCACAATGTTTCCTGTCTGTATACAGACATTTACCATTCAGTTAGGGCATAGAAAATGGAATATA